AATAAATTTTCCTAATGCAATATTAATACAAAAGTATGTTAAATAATTTTGGCTTTGAATTTAAATTATACATAAAACCAGTAGACTAAGATCTATTCTGTTATATATACATGATATAAGGATGATTGTGGGTATGCATTGAATAATGATTGGAAGAGTCCCAGCTCAATCACTATTCAAAGCCAAAAATGACTAATCATCCATGACCTCTGTTTTTCCCATTTGGTAAATGAAGAGCAAACTCTCTGCTTTAACTAATGCAAGAGAAATAAATTATGTTCAAGTAGAAAAATACATTGTCTGATACTCATCTATACAGTGTGCATTCTTAAACACTATATAGATGTAAGATTTATCATTTACTAACTTTCTAAAATTTTATGATCTTCTATAATATAGTTATTCAATTTTGCACTAGTGTTAAGCATATTTTAATATTTGCCTTACATATATTAAGAAAATAGTGGATCTAATAGCTAAAAATAATGGCAACTACCATTTATAAGTATTTGCTAAGTACCAAAGCCTGTACTAAAAGTTTTATATATCAATGTCGTTTAAATATCAAACAACCCTATGAACTTAACTTTTAATTTTGCCAAAGAATCTGAATTTCAAGAAGGTTAAAATGACAGCTACTATATGTCAGAGATAGGATATAACATCAGTTCTACTTAACACCTAAGTCTGCTTGGCACATCTTAGTTAAAAATCAGTGAAAAGCATTATAAAGCAGTTCACAATTGAGTTTCTAGAGTGAGAGACAACTGGGTTTGAGTCTTCCTCTACTACTAGGACGTGACTTCAGCCAAGTTCCTGTGTGTGTGTGTGTGTTTCTTCCTTGGCAAAATGAAGTAAAAGTTGAACTCACCTCCTGGAGTTGTTGTTAAGTTTGGATGAGATCATGTTTATTGTTGGAGCTTCCGGGGTGGCTCAGATGATAAAGAATCTGCCTGCAATGTAGGAGACCTGAGTTTGATCCCTGGTTGGGGAAGAACCTCTTGAGGAGGCATGGCAACCTACTCCAGTATTCTTGCCTGGGGAATCCCCATAGACAGAGGAGCCTGGCAGGCTACAGTCCATCGGGTCACAAAGAGTCCGATGTGACTGATTAACATACAGCATGCTTATTGTGTCACAAAACTAGTATAATAGCTATCACACAATACTTACATAGTGAATGTTTCTTAATATTTAGTCTTAAAATTGCTCATTTTTAAAGTATGGGTAAAACTAGAACTTAACCCAGAAAGATGTTGCAAGGATTAAATGAGATCAAACAAAAAGGTACTGGGTATAAAAGTGCTCAGTAAATGATAGCTATTATTATTATCATTCCAAAGATTGGTTGATTAACAGATTTTATCAATTTTATTTATTTATTTAGCAAAACTGCTTGCTAAATTTTGTAGTTACATTTAAGCAAGAAGAAATCTTTACACTGGATTAGTTTCATTCTTGCTTTTCCTGTTGCCAGTGGAAAACAGAGACGTCCATGCAAGTCTTCTGAAATATGATTTGTCCAGCCTAGTTCTGTTTCAAGTTTACTATCAAATGCAAAAATTATATATATATATATATATATAATATTTAATTCGTGTTGGTTGTAGATATTCATCACTTCTTAAATCACACTAAGAGAGGCCCTGTGACTAATGAATTTCCTAGCATTCTGCTGTTAGGGCTTATTTATACAGGTGGCAAGGTGGCACTACATAAAGAATTTGCCTGCTAATGCAAGAGATGTAAAAGATGTAGTTTTGATCCCTGTGTCGGGAAGATCCCTTGGAGGAGATCATGGCAACCCACTCCATCATTCTTACCTGGAGAATCCCATGGACAGAAGAGCATGGATAGGGTTGCAACACAACTAAAGCAACTTAGCAAGCCTGTACATATCTTAACAGTATAAGGAGAGAATATCTTTTGTATTCTTTTCTCAGAGAGACCAACAACAAAAAAGTCAACATTTGAGAACAGGAACTTTGCATTAAATTTTTTTGTATGACATTCTAACTCTAAGCGAACATCCTTAAAATAGGCATTTATAACAATTCCTTAGTCAAATGCAGTGAAAATAGATTTGGAATGGATGATGGTGTGATATCAAGAGACAAAGACCAAAATGTACAAGATATATACAGGGAAATATGCAGTCCATTTTTGGAACTTTTTTAAGACTAAAATTGATGTATTTTAATATAAAGTTGGAATTAAATTAGGAAAAGTCTGGAATTCTAAAGAGTGTAAATTTTTCCATCAGCAAGTGAAGAAAATGAAGCATATTTTCTTTGTTCTTAGTTTGTAATGGTGTGATCATGAACTATGCAAAGATCAAGTTGGCAGGGATTACAGAAGGGGGCAAGCAAAATGTAAAAGTAAGTAATTATCAGGGAAATGCAAATTAAAGCCACAATAAACCATCATCTCTTCACTGTAGAATGGTGATTATCAAAAAGGACAAAAAATAGTATATGCTGGTGATGTTAATGATGAAGAAAAGGAAACACTCATTATACTATTGGTGGGAATGTAATTTGATATAGTCACTATAGGAAAGACTGTGAACATTCCTTGGAAAATTAAAAATAGAACTAATATAGAATCTAGCAATTCTCCTTCTGGGTATTCATCTAAAGAAAATGAAAACACTAATTGAAAATATATCTGCACCCCAGTGATCACCACAACATTATTAACTATAGCCAAGGTTTGCAAGCAACCTATGTCCACTGAGGAATGGAGGAATGGATAAAGAAAATGACCAAACTAGAAAGAATGTTAAAAAGTAGAGCGATTACTTTTCTGGCAAATATCCTTCTAATCAAAGATATGGGTTTTCCAGTAGTCATATATGGTTGTGAGAGTTGGACTATAAAGAAAGCCGAAGAATTGATGCTATTGAATTGTATGTTGGAGAAGACTCTTGAGAGTCCCTTGGACTGCAAGGAGATCCAACCAGTCCATCCTAAAGGAAATCAGTCCTGAATATTCATTGGAAGGACTGATGCTGAAGCTGAAACTCCAAAACTTTGGCCAGCTGATGGGAAAAGCTGACTCATTGGAAAAGACCCTGTTCCTGGGAAAGATTGAAGGCAGGAGGAGAAGGGGATGACAGAAGATGAGATGGTTGGATGGTAGCACTGACACGATGGACATGAGTTTGAGCAAGCTCTAGAAGATGGTGATGGGCAGGGAAGCCTGGTGTGCTGCATTCCATGGGGTCACAAAGAGTTGGACACAACTGAGCGATTGAACTGAACTGATACATACATACATACATATACAACTGAATACTAGTCAGCCATAAAAGAGAAGGTGATCTTGCCATTTGCAACCTGGATAGACCTTGAGGGTATTATGCTATGTGAAATAGAGATACCACACAATCTTATTTACCTGTGAAATCTTAAAAAGAAAAAAAAAAAGAAGAAGAAATCAGAAACAGACTTATAGATACACAGAACAAACTGGTGTTTGCCGGAAGGAAGGGGAGATTATGCAAAATGAATGAAGTATTAAGAGATTAAGAGATACCACTTCCAGTTATAACTAAGTGATAGGAAATACAGTCAATAATATTGTAATTACTCTGTATGACAACAGATGGTACTAGATATTATGAAGATCATTTCAAAATGTATATAATATGGCATCACTATGATGTACACCTGAAACTAATATGACATTGTATATCAGTTTTATTTTAATTAAAAATAAATGCAATTGTACTCTCACATGAAACTACTCATTAAAATTTAACAGGCATTCCAAAAACAGTTTAATTACATTGTCTTAAGTCATATGAAGAAAAAGTTTACATTTTTCTTTTTTCTTCAAAACTGTCAACCAACTTTACTTCTGCTAAATGAGAAAAAAAAAAAGTGCAACCTAAAAGTTGATAACTGTGTTTGATTTGGTGGACAAACTAAGGCTTAAACCTAGGATGCATCCTCTCAGACAGCTCTGGAGGGACTGCTTTCATGAGGTAAAGAAGCCAGGATATACAGAAATCTTTTGCAACAAATATCAGGTATTTTGAAATTCAAAAGATTACTATTAAAGAAAATCAGACATCTAAAGTTAATAGTGTTTTTCTACCTATGGGAAGATGCAAGAGTCTGTGCTCATTGAAATCATCCCTTTGATATGCACCTAGCTGTCTAGGGCTAGTACCATGTTCTTTCCTATCCTGAGTCCCCTAAATGTGCCTCAATGGAGATGACTACCATGGCGTGATACTTGCAACACCCTTTGCTTACTGATATGCAAGCAACATTTTTCTTTCACACTTTTCATCTGAAAAATGCAAAACGACAACTTCCCCTTGGTTAGGGGTGTGTGTGTGTGTGTGTGTGTGTGTGTGAGACATGTGCACATATACACACGAGTGCTTCTCTAATGTTTGCCATGGTTCTACCCCCAATGAATTAATTTATTCAACAATGCATTTTGTTTCTGTTTTTGTTTTTTCCACTGAGTTCTTGCATATCCAGACATTGTTCTAGGCATTTGGCAGACATTAGTATATAAAACAGAAAAAAAGATACCTTCCAGTACTCTACCAGGGGAAGGCAAAAATAACTGATATGAGGGGATGATGGGATGAATTGGGAGATTGGGATTAACAAATATACATTATTGACACTATGTGTAAAACAGATAACTAATAAGAACCTGCTGTATAGCTCAGGGAACTCTGCTCAGGGCTCTGTAGCGACATAAATGGGAAGGAAATCCAAAAGCAGGAGTGGATGTATATATACACACAGCTGATTCACTTTGCTGTATAGTAGGAACTGACACAACTTTGTAAAGTAACTATAATAAAAATTAATTTAAAAAATTAAAAAATAAAAACATAGAATCGTTATAGCCAAACCCTCCAGGAAGCAAACTCACTCAGCACAGCATGGATACTGGAGTTCAGTTTATTACACTGGCGGGTCCGAGGCAGAGCTTCCTCTTTAGCCAGGGATTCTAACCAACTTTTGTGAAAACCTTATATACCTTAACTGTACATGCTCAAGCCTCCATCCCCAAATTCTTTACACTTAGCCTGGAAAATGTTAAAGGGAGATGCAATCAGGTTACAGACATGATTCATAATCAGAAGGGTCAGCTGGTTATACATTGTAGCATACACCAATGGGCGCCATCAAGATTACAAAGGTGATTGACTACACAGGGATTATTCCATTCTTTCTGGCGATGGGAAATCTTGGTATGGAATCTGGTGTTTATCAGTTCAAGAGGTCTTTTTGGCCATAGGTATGTTATTTCCATGGCTCCTAAGCACATAGTCCAAAGTTCACTGAAAATGCGAGCAGGCGTATAGTCCAAAGTTCACTGGGAATGTAAGATGGCGTTTCCTTCTTTTTCAAAATGGAGTCAGCTTGGCCTGTTCATTTCCTCCTTCATTCCCCCCTCTTGATTCTCTCAACTTCCAGTCTGAACATCACTCATTGGGATGTACTGCATTTTAGGTTTCCTGGTATATATTCGGGTAAATGAAGTCAGCCTCTGTGATACAAAATTAACAACACATTGGAGAATACAAGGTCCACATAACAGAAACAACAAAACAACTATAACAATGTTTAATATAGTTTTCCACAAATCACAGTTTACCCATGACAGAACAGAAGTCCAAAAAGGAAGATTGTCATGATACATAGATTTTACTTGAACTTTCATGCCATCTAGAGTGGCTGATATACTGCCAGAATAATCAGAAATATATACACAACATTCAGCTTTGATTATAGCACAGGTCACTCCTTGAGCGGCTGTAAGTATGTCTAAAGCCATTCTATTTTGAGTTACTGCTTTTCTCATTTGTATTTATTCAGTATTTAGTGCTTGAATAGCTCTTAGGCTGTCATTTAGGTTCTTTGGGTGAAATTAGTTAGAGTTTCAACTTTAATCATTATGTCCATAGTGCCCAATGAGGGAACAAATATAGCAGCCAAATAATCATACCAATGGAAAACTGATTGTGACCATCTGGCTCATAGGGAGGGTAAGTTTAAAGGCTCTTGTATTGTTGACCTGGTGTTTCCATGGGCAAAGGCCAGACCTGAAGTACACCTCCCTACCCATCCTGGGGGCAGCCAAGTTTGTAAGTTAGTCCCACATAACCAATGGGTGCCATCAGGAGCAATCCACCTGATTCTGGAATTGAATCGCCAGTCTGTACCGGGCCACTGGAGGATTGACTGGGATCTTAAGTAACTTTATAGGTCTTATAGTGCTGTTCTGTCAGAAGAAAGCCCATTGGTTTTTAAATTCTTTTTATCTGTCATTTGGTTATTATATCCAAAACTGTTTACATTTTCTTCCCAGCAAATTACAGCTATCCTAACAAGTTGTCCCTTTTCTGGAGTAATCCACATGTATTCATCCCTTATCTGGTAAAATTGGTCAAAATATCAGCTAATTTCTGATTGTTTGGACTTATCGGCTGTCACATAAAATTGATAAGCATTTTCTGAGCTAAGAGTATAATTAAAATGTATCCTACGGCCATTTGTCAGATCGTCGGCCTTTTTATCGCACCAATGGGTAGTGGCTGCTGTGATTACAGTTTCTATACTCGATTTTTGTTGTTTTGCCTGATGCAAAAAATTACATAAACTAGGTATATCACCCCTCCTTAGAGGTGATACCTACCATGGGAATCCACCCGTGACAGACGTGGGCATGGCTCCACACACCCAGCAGTTAGTTTTTTTATGGAAGTCAGCATAAGAATGTACCCATGAAATGAAAACGTTGTCTTGTGCTGAAACTATAGCTAGTCTCAAGAGAATACCAGCAAGTCCTTGAAGCAGCAGTTGATTGTAGAGCTTCATCTCTTCTTTTTCTTTAGGATGAATGGTTTCACAGGGATCAGTAGGGTCCTTCTGTGTAGTCCATTCGGCGTCCTCTGGGTCTGCATGGTATGCTCTTCTCACGCTCGTGTGGTGGATCTGGGGATGACACCTGCAACTTTAACTGCTGTAGGTGTGGTTAGAACAACAGTATATGCACCCTTCCAGTGTGGGGCCAAGGAGTCGTGTTTCGTCTCTGACCCACACCTGATCACTGGGTACAAACTTGTGAGTCTGTTCCCCAAGGTGGAAAGGCACCCTTTCTTGTACAAACTTAGTTACTTGATTTACCTTACCCAGTTGTTCCATCTGTGGTGAAATCACATCCCCCCTTACCTGTGGCATATTTGCTGACACCTGTCTTGCTATGGGAGGGGGTCGCCCATAGACCATTTCATAAGGAGAATAACCATGGGAATGCAGGGCTATCCTTAATCTGAGTAAGGCTGCCAGAAGCAAGTCTGTCCATGAACAGTCAGTCTCTATGATCTATTTTGAAAGTGTCTCCTTAAGATTTTGGTTGGTTCTTTCCACCATTCCAGAACTCTAGGGCCGATAGGCCTTATGTAATTTCCACTTGATTTTAGAGCTTTACATACCTGTTGAATTAAGTCAGCTACAAATGCACGGCTGTTGTCTGATCCTGTACTCGTTGGGAACCTGAATCTGGGGACTAATTCTCAAAGCAGACACTGAGCCACTTTCTTTGCTTTTTCCGTTCAGGTGGGGAAAGCCTCCAACCATCCTGAGAAGGTACATAGCATGACCGGTAAATAACGATAGTGTCGGCAGGGTTTCATCTCAGTAAAGTCCACTTCTAAATATTCAAAGGGTAGAGTGCCTTTTAACTGGATTCCTGGAGGTTTTTCTTTATGTCCAGGGGCAACATTGACCTGTGAGCAAGCAGAACAGTTCCAGGATTCCATTCTACATAAAGAAGAAAGTCATGGAATTAAGAAATATTTTTGGAATTAATTTTTCCATTTTGTCATGTCCCAAGTGAGTTGCCTGGTGAGCCGGAGACACCAGTGGGGGCTAATGCCTTGGGTACCAGTAACCTGCCATCCAGCAGTGCCCACCAAACTTTTTCATGTTTGGTGGGCCTTTCTGCTTCAGACAGCTAGTCTTGGGCTGGGGTATACTGTGGGAGAGTCAAAGTTAACTCAGGCATGTTTGAGAGTACAAAGGTTCTGCTAGATCCCTCACCACCAGCCCCAAATTTCTCAACAGCATGTTTTGTGGCTTTATCTGCTAGTCAGTTTACCAATGCTTGTGGGGTGTCTTCCTTTTGGTGACCCTGACAATGCATTCCCGCACCTTTTCAGGTTCCCATATAGCATCTAATAGAGTCAAGATTTCTTCCTTGTTTTTACTGTCCTTTCTGTTGGCTGTCAGAAGACCTCTCTCTTTATATACAGCCCTATGTACATGAAAGTATCAAAAGCATACCTGGAGTCTGTGTAAATGTTTGTCTTCTTACCTTTTGACAGCTGGAGGGCCCGGATTAGAGCATATGGTTCTGCCCATTGAGTAGACCAGTGTGATGGCAGAGAGCTAGCCCTAACAATGGTTGCTTCCATGACTACTGCACATTCCGACAGTCCCAGTCTGGGTCTGGGCCTGGGATTGGCTGGTCTGTCAAGCCAGGTTTGCTGGCAAAAACTTCTAGGATGTCCTTGCAATCATGTGAGGGACCACCTTCTCCCACATGAAGGAGAGTGACTGGATTCAGGGCCTGAGAAGGTTTGCTAGTAACACGGGGGTTCTCACATTACAGTCCCTGGTATTGAGTAATCCGAGTTGTTGACAGCCACTTATGGGGTTCCCCTTGCAGGAGAGTGTTGACCTCATGAGGGACTTTTATGATCAAATCTTGGCCCATTCAGCTTGGTTGCCTCCTGGACCAGTAAGGGAACTGCAGAAACTGTTCATAAGCATCCTGGCCACCCAGTGGCAACATTGTTCAGCCGTTTCAAGAAATAAGCCATGTGTCTGTCCCATGTCCCCACAGTCTGGGTCAACACTCCCATAGTCACCGTGTCCTTTTCAGTTACATAAAGAATAAATGGCTTAGTAAGGTCTGGCAGGCCCAAGGCAAGTGCTGACGCAATTGCCAGCTTTAGTTCCTCAAAGGCCTGTTGCTGTCTCTCAGCCCAATTTAGTGAATCTCCTTCTGGTCCAGTTAGGAGTTCATATAATGGCTGGGCCATCTGGGAATAGCCCAGAATCCAAATCCTACAAAACCCAGTGGCATCCAAGAACTCTTGGCCCTGTCGTCTGGTTCTTGGTTGTGGGATTCTCAAAATGACCTCTTTTCTGGACTGCTCTAATAGCGTCGTGCCTCCTCTCAGAACAAACCCCAAATATCTTACCTCCTCTTTGCAGATCTGTGCCTTCTTTTTCAAGACTCAGTAGCCAGACATCATCAAAAGCTCTAGTAAAGCCTTGGTCCCTTCCCAGCAGTCTTCTCCATTCTCAGCAGCCAAAAGCAAGTCGTCCATGTATTGTAGCAACCAGCAGCTGAATTTTTCTGGCTGGAGTGAGTCCAGATAGGAAGCCAAGGCTTCCCCAAAGACGGTTGTGGGATTCTTAAATTCTCGTGGGAGTGGAGTCCAGGTGAGCTGTTGTTTGGTGCCCTCTGCCGGGTCTTCCCATTCAAAAGCAAAAATGGGTTGAGACACCCAGGACAGGCATACACAAAAGGCGTAGGACCAGAAATTATAAAACTCCTGGAGGAGAACATAGGCAAAACACTCTCCGACATAAATCACATCAGGATCCTCTATGACCCACCTCCCAGAATATTGGAAATAAAAGCAAAAATAAACAAATGGGACCTAATTTAACTTAAAAGCTTTTGTACAACAAAGGAAACTATAACCAAAGTGAAAAGAAAGCCTGCAGAATGGGAGAAAATAATGGCAAATGAAGAAACAGACAAAGGATTAATCTCAAAATATATAAGCAACTCCTGCAGCTCGATTCCAGAAAAATAAACGACCCAATCAAAAAATGGGCCAAAGATCTAAACAGAAGTTTCTCCAAAGAAGACATACAGATGGCTAACAAACACATGAAAATATGCTCAACATCACTCATTATCAGAGAAATGCAAATCAAAACCTCAATGAGGTACCATTACATGCCAGTCAGGATGGCTGCCCCCCAAAAGTCTACAAACAGCTGGAGAGGGTGTGGAGAAAAGGGAACCCTCTTACACTGTTGGTGGGAATGCAAACTAGTACACCCACTATGGAGAACAGTGTGGAGATTTCTTAAAAAACTGGAAATAAAACTGCCATATAACCCAGCAATCCCACTTCTGGGCATACACACCGAGGAAACCAGATCTGAAAGAGACACGTGTACCCCAATGTTCATCACAGCATTGTTTATAATTACCAGGACATGGAAGCAACCTAGATGCCCATCAGCAGACGAATGGATAAGGAAGCTGATACACTATGGAACATACTCAGCCATTAAAAATTATTCATTTGAATCAGTTCTAGTGAGATGGATGAAACTGGAGCCCATTATACAGAGTGCAGTAAGCCAGAAAGATAAAGACCAATACAGTATACTAACACATATATATGGAATTTAGAAAGATGATAACGATAACCCAATATGCAAAACAGAAAAAGAGACACAGATGTACAGAACAGACTTTTGGACTCTGTGGGAGAAGGCGAGGCTGGGATGTTCTGAGAGAATAACATTGAAACAAGTATACTATGAAGGGTGAAAAGAGATCACCAGCCCAGGTTGGATGCATGAGACAAGTGCCCAGGGCTGGTGCACTGGGAAGACCCAGAGGGATGGGATAGGGAGGGAGGCGGGAGGGGGGATCGGGAAGGGGAACCCATGCAAATCATGGCTGATTCATGTCAATGAATGGCAAAAACCACTACAATATTGTAAAGTAATTAGCCTCCAATTAATAAAAATAAATGCGGAAAAAATGAGACAACAATGAAAAAAATAAATAAAAAATAAAACAATTAAAAAATACAAATAAAAAATAGAAACCTATAAAATTGTAAAAAAAAAAAAAAAAAAGGCATCCTTGAGATCTAAACAAGTGTGGATCTTAGCGCTTGGTGGGAGGAGACCGAGTTAAGTATAGGGGTTAGGAATGCGGGATGTAGAGTCAGGGTAGTCGGGGTAAGCAGTCTGAGGTCCTGTGCAGGTCTGTGGTCCTGGCCGCCTTCTTTCTTGACTGGTAGGATTGGTGTGTTCTAAGCCGACTGGCTGTCAATCTCGATGCCCTCCTGCTTCAGTCTGTTTATGGGTGGCAAAATGCCACTCAAGCCTCTAGTGGCAGTAGGTACTGATGCTTCCTGACTGGAGTGGCACCGGGTTTAAGTTCTATTACCACTGGGCTTGATGTTTTGCAAGCCGGGGTTGGGGGAGGCGTCGGGGAGCAGGGCAGTTTTCTTCCGCTAAACTTCATGGGATCGTCCGGCTTCCCTTCTGGGAGATTGTGCAACCTCCATCATCCTGAGGTTTACTGAGAGGGAGTATAAATAGGTGGTTGAGCCCACTTGAAGAGTGGGTCTTTCGTGGAGGGAAAAGGTCACTTGTGCCCCCAGTTTAGCAAGTCTCTTCCCAACAAAGGTATTGGGCATTCAGGGATGTATAGAAATTCATGAGTCACTTGGTGTCCCCCCATCTGGCATTTTTGGGGTAGGCAGAATGGCCTAATCAGCTCTTCCCCAGTTTCTCCTGCTATAGCAGTGGTCTTTTTTGAGATAGGTGCCACCGGTTCAGTCACCACTGACATTTCCGCTCCAGTGTCCACCATAAAGCCAATAATCTCATCTCTCACTTTTACTTTTACCATGGGCCCTTGGGGACCTTGTGTCTTTGAGCCCCGTCACCCCTATTCAGTCTCTAGTTGGGCCAACCCTATAACAACCAATGCTAAATCATTTTCCCTGCTATTTTGGGGGCATTATTTTTTCCAGTGGTGGAAGCCCTGGCATTGGGCACATTGATTTGTTGTAGGGTAGCCCTGGCCCTTCTTGGAAAAGGCCTGCCATGAGGCTGGCTCTGGTTCAGAGGGGCTGGGGAGGTCTAAAGAGGGACCTTCCCAGGGCTGTGGCCAGGACTGTGACCCTCTGGTCTGCCCTCTTATTATCTTCTCTCTGCCTTTTCTAGACTTCCCTTTTTGTCTCCATGTCGCTATTTCTGAATACCTTATCAGCGATCTCAATTATTTGTGAGCTGGTCATGGACAATACCCTGTCCACCTTTTGAAGCTTGCATCTGATATTGGGGTAGGCTTGAGACACAAAATCTGCATTTATCACCATCTGAGATCCAGCAGTCTCTGAATCTATTGGTGTATAAAGTCTGTAGGCCTCGCACAGTCTTTCATAGAACTCAGAGGGCGATTCTATCTCCCTTTGAATCACTTCAGAGGGTTTTGTCATGTTCATAGGTTTTCAGGCCCCCCTCTTGAGGCCTTGTAAAATAGCTGCCTGATATATCTCCAGGTGGTTCCTCCCTTCCTCTGTGAAATAGTCCCAATGGGGCTCTCACTGGGGGTAGCTTGTTCTGCCCACTGCTGCAGGTTTGTGGTGCCCTCAGGTTCCATTTCTCTGAACCATTTTCTGGCCTCAGTTAGGATTCTGCATCTTTCCTCAGTGCTAGAAAGAGAGACTAGCAGTTGGATTATGTCATCCCATGTAGGGCACTGGGTTCAAAAAATAGTCTCCATTAGCCTAATCATGGCTTGTCGCTCCCTAAGTACGGTGGAGTGTGTCTCTGCCAGTTTAATATATCTGTAGAGGAAAATGATTGGTAATAATAAGCTACAGAAGGCTGGTGGTATTGTCCATCTGCGTCCTGAACCCGGGGCTGTTGTGCCTCTCCAAGGGGCCTCTGCAGTGGGGTTTTATCCTCCTGCTCCTTAGTAGGATGCAGCCTCTGTCTAATTCCTGTTTCCTTCTGCCTTTTCATCTGTACTCACTAGGAGGGGTGGGTAGAGCCTGGGAGGTCCAGCTGTGGCTGAATCCTGGGAGCGTTGACCAGAGGTCTCCATCTCCAGGATCAGAGCCTGCTGAAATGGCGGTTCTGGGACCTCCGGGAGAGTCAGTGGAGGAGCCGCTCCTGCAGAAACTTCACCCGGCCCTGGGCCCAGCACTAAGACGGCCTCCGGTTCTGGTGGGGCACAGCGGCATCATCATCCAGTATGGGGCAGGGAGCAGGTCTTCCCCATCCAAACCCTGCAAAATTTCTTTTTTGTCATTAGTCAACATTTGTGCCCTTAATATTGTTCCTTTCCCTTTCTTGATATAGAATCTCACCCAAGGAAGGGGGTCTTAAGCTAACCCTAGCCATGAGTCAATATACAGAAATTGATCTGGATGTCCCAGCTCTCCTATGACTACTGTATAGATTGATTCCATTATTTTTAAGCTCATGGTGCTTTCTGGTGCCCATCCTACTTCCACAGAGGGCCATTCGACCTCACAGAGTATGTGGAGGTGGTTAGGCATCATCTTCACTCTATAGTTTCCTCCAAATCCCATCTTAAAAATTTTAATCATGCACTCCAGTACAGTTGCCTTAGATTCACTTCCCTCCATTTTGCTTACCTTCTTGGACCTTCTTCTTTCTTTCCTTTTCATTCTGTCTACGAAGTTCTCAGATCCCTATGTACTTCTTATATTTCCACTCAATGAAACACTTAAATTGACATTCCACCTCCTTCCCAGTGGAGCAGGAAGAGCCTTACCTGCCAGATCCCAGAGGAAGAAGGGTGATCACTGTGTCTTCATCTGCTGATCAGTATGACTGAACCAGAAAACCACATGGTCCAAGACTGCTTCTCCCTTGACTTTTAAGGTCTTTTCTGCCTTGGTGGGCTTGATCAGGTGTGGGTGAAAAGACAGATGGGTTAAATATCCCACGTCGTAGGCTGTCTCTGGAAAAGCCAATTCATACTCATTTATGTATCTCCCTCCTTCTAGCCTGGCAGTTTTGAGGGGATCAAGAATTTCACAGCAGATAGGACACCTACTTGGGGAGGGCAAACTACAGGCACACAAAAACCAAGTTTCTTCCCCTAGAATCTCCTTCGCAATTGCCCGGTAAAAAGTTTACCCCCAGGCAAAGCAGACACCACCTCCTCTGTGACATTCATAGCCCTGCTGTCCCCAAAACCTTCTCATGTTTGTCCAGTAGCAATCTATCCCAGAACTATCTGGATACCACCTCTTTGTGACAGTCTGGTCTGAGTGCTCCCTATTCCCTTCCAGGGGGTTGATCAGGCCCCCTCCTCCACTCTGCTGGGTGGAAACCTCCTACCTGCTGCCATCCAATATCCACTAACATGAAAGTTCTGGGCATTGAGGAGTGGAACCTTTCCAGAAGAGTGAAGATCTGAGCCACAAGGCCTCAGAGTAGCCCCAAGCAGGACTTGTCTCCTCAAAGTGACAAATTTCCCTGCCAATGCACCAAATGTTATAGCCAAACACTCCGGGAAGCAAACTCACTCAGGACAGTGTGGATAGTGGAGTGCAGTTTATTACACTGGCGGGTCTGAGGCAGAGCTTCCTCTTTAGCCAGGGACCCCGACCAACTTTTGTGAAAACCTTACATAACTTAAGTGTACGTGCTCAAGTCCCAATTCCCGAATTTCTTAAACCTAGCCTGGAAAATGTTAAAGGGAGATACAATCAGGTTACAGCCGTGATTCATAATCAGAAGTGTCAACTGGTTACACATTGTAGCCTACACAAATGGGCACCATAAAGATTACAAAGGTGACTGACTACACAAGGATTATTCCAATCTTTCTGGTGATGGGAAATCTTGGTATGGAATCTGGTGTTTATCAGTTCAGGAGGCCTGTTCGGCCATAGGTATGTTATTTCCATGGCTAACAGGCACATGGCCAAAGTTCACTGGGAATGTAAGATGGAGTTTCCTTCTTTTTCAAGATGGAGTCAGCTCAGCCTGTTCCTTTTCTCCTTTAGGATGAGAAGAAAAAAACTGATATCATAAAACTAATAACCATAATTATATTGCCAAGTGATTAATAATCAGCCATTTCCTAGAATTACACATTGTCTCAATTACTGTAGGGTTGCTCCCCTTCTGTTTGATTTCCTATCTCTGAAAAAGGTATATATGTGCATTTCAATGATCAGCATCTTGGAAAGGGCAATATCCCATTATCCTAAGTAGGTGCAAGATGGAGAGTTTTGGTATTTCAAGTCTCCTTTAAATTTCCAATTTAATATGAATTAAAATAAGTAAAACTCTTGTCATAAATGTGTGTTCAGCAAGCATGAGGGCATATTTCTGGATGTGAAAATTTTTAAAGACATAAGAAAACACTCATTCAGGCTATGTGAAGGCCTGCAGCCCTGAAGACTTATGTCCATATAGATACTCAAGTACCCCTGTGAACACTACACACTTTTATTTTAGTAGAGTTTATTTATATATCTTGTTTCTACTTAAGCCTGTGAATGCCTCATGAATAGAAACCTTGTGATTCATCATCAAACACGACAACAGCCATGACCACGCGAGAGTGTCTCTGAGATATAAGAGATTAACTCTGAGAACAAACTCGTAACTTTTAACGCAGTTGAGTATTTTCTCTACCGTTCCTGTATTAATGTCTTTAACCAGTGTTAAATCAATGTTTCATTTTACATGTTCTTGTTATGGATTTTTCCCCCTCCTGTTTGTTGGGATATTCCTTCCATTCATCACAAGTTTTGTCTTCCCTAGAGAATTGACTCATAGAAAATTCCTCAGTCTCTCTTATTGGATTCTCTAATATCATACCTGCCTTTGCATTATTATCATTGAAGTTTGTCTCAGGTGGCAAGTTTGCTCCAGAAAAAGAGATGACCAAATCATGCGTGCACAGTCAGTAAGTCGTGTCCAACTCTTTGGTACGCTATGAAATGTAGCCCGCCAGGCTCTTCTGCCTAGGATATCCCGGGCAAGAATGCTGGAGATGGTTGACATTTCCATCTCCAGGGAATCGTCCCAACCTGCACTTCCTACATCTCCTGCATTGGCAGGCAGATTCTTTACCACTGTACCACCTGGGAAGCCTATGAGCTAAAGCCTATTGTAGTGGAGAAAACTTTGGCATACTTCCTTTTGGTGGTTCTCCTAGGAATGTTTTTCTATAGTGCTTCGCTACTTTATAAAAAATATATGTACAAATATTTTCTCAAATCCTTAGGCAATACATAGGATTCAAGTTATCACTTTAAAGTCGAGGATTTTTGAAATCTGAATTTAAATAGTCTATTATAGATCTTTAATTTGAAGAGAAGTAAAGTAAAACCTAAAATAACTCGAGTTAAAAGATACTTTATTGGCACTTGTAGTAACAGTCTGAGATTAGGGAGGCTTTCAGTAATGATTGGATTTAAGGTTAAGGATAAAATTGTTTTACCTCATTTCTCAGAAATATCAACATTTCTTATACTTCATTTCATTCCAGACAAGGAGTTGTATCCTCAGCTGGCTTTAAACATACATCCTGTGGTAGCAGGGCGTTGCCTGTTGCCTCTCCAAGCAAAAAGTTATCATGAGGTAAATGCAGATTTTCAATAATGTCTATAAAATTCCTGAGAGTAATTCTGATTTGAAAGGCTTGTATAGCATGCCCAGTCCTGAAGTATAGAGGTTTACTGTGAGTCAGGGGCTCATGCATTAAAAATAGTCTAGGGATGAAGACTCTCTCAATTTGACCACATGAACTAAGTATCCTCACTTCGTAGATAAGTGGATAACCAAATAGAAATTGGGACTGATGCTCAAGGAGGCAAGGATGCTGGATGTCAACTGAAACATCTGCCTCTGAAGATGAACAGTTAAAGGTGTAGGATGTGGGCAGCAACAGAATGCAGGCACTCCGCATACATAGAGAAGAATGATTTTTCAAATTAGAGACTGGGAGAAATAGATATGTGCAAGTATGAAGTGACTAGATAATTGAAAGAGAAAAATAGTTGCAAAGACTTGAGTAACGAAAGTTGCTTGAGTCATAGTAAATGAGCCCTGGAAAACTCCATGAGAGGCATAATTTAAAGAATTACACAGGCCTCCTTTGGATTTTCTATTTGATATGTAAAATTCTAACTGAAGGTATGACCAAATGAATTCCATAGATCATATTTCAGGGACAGACATATCCAGGGAAACTATTTTTTTATTCAATGCACTTTTGGCTGCCTCATTTCACCAGACTACATGTATTAACAGATTTAAACACTATTAAAGTGATAGAGATATGCACTCATCTTTGAAACACAAGCATATCTAGTGATATTTCTTACTGATAGCTATCAGTTCTATAACCCTAAGTTACATTCCATACGTGTAGGACTGGCTTCTCAGCAATTACACTTTCTTTCCAGGTCAGAAGGAAAACAACGTTATATATTTATAGCCAATTCTATTAGGTATTCAATGATTATTTGTTGATTCATGCATTGATTTTTTTTTTAATGCAGGATGTTGTTATTTGAAGGCATTTACTCATGGGAAAAGATCTAATTGGACTGATTATATAAGCATCATTGCCTTCATAAATATCTGATGTGTGCTATCTGTTGGCATTTGCAAATGTAGATTAGAGTGAAAGGAAGGAGTGAGGAGAGAGAAGAGGACTAACAATTCAGTTTGCTAGCTTAGTTTATTGATAATTTGTAGCCTTGATTAAAGTTCATTTCAAGATATGTTTATTTACTTCTTTTCAACAATATGTTGATATGAAGAATAAAAAAAGCTGATGCTAATTTGGTTACTTAAAGAAATGAATCATACGGATAGCAGCCAATCCAAACTATTGCATATAAAAATTGGCTATGCATAGAGATTAAAATACTAAGGATTTTTTTTGTTGAAGTCAACTAACTTGGTGGCCATGTAACTTTGTAATTATATTGTAAGTATATAATAAAGATAAGTTACAGTATGGTTCTGACAATTTAGCAATATATAGGATTATTTGTTAAATATTGGCCTGAAGAATTTTACAGGGTTATTTTGCAAACATGACCACAAATCCTAGTGGTCCTATTAACCTCATTTGGGTTCATCTGTTTCTTAAGATGTAGAAACATGAAAGCATTTTAAAATATAGGTCAAATCTTTTGCATGCACATTCTGTCATTACTGCTTTTGGCCCTAGGATGAGTGAGAATCTTTTTCATGCTTCCACACAGTCATTTGCATATAAAGAGATTATTTTAATTTGATAGGATAAAATGCCTAAATGTTTTAATCAATAAAGACTACTAGCAATGTGACTATCCAGGACACAAACTCTAGGCAAAAGAAGTTTAGGAATGCAGAACTGCAGAATGGGTTAAGAGGACAAATTCTATGGTATTTTCTTCCCTGCTTTATTCTAGGATGAATTTTTGTTGCTATGAATGAGATTAAAAAAAAAGAACAAAAGAAAACACTTAGTATTGGAAAAACTGGACAGACTTCTGTGGATCAATGAAGATAGAAGACATCTTCACCAAAATAAACTCAAAGTGCCTTAAAAACTTACATTTAATTAAAGACACAACACCATAAAACTGTTAGAGGTCCTCAACACAAGAAAAAAAAATTGTAACTTTGTATGGTGATGGATCTAACTGGACTTATTGTGGTAATTATTTCACTGTATATACATATATTAAATCATTGTGCTGTAACACCTACAGATGTTATATGTTAATTTATACCATTTTATCTCTTTGCTTAGCGTATCGGTTACACTTACTTTAAAAAAAATGTTTACCTATTGTCCTAGATTTGGCATTGTAGGTTTTTAACTAATCTAAGTCTAATTTCAAATAAGTAGACCATATCACTTTTTATATAATGTCGGTATCTTCTAATAATTTTCCCAATTTTCTCCTGTCCTTTCTGAGGTTGCTATCATTCATTTAATTTATCTGTATGCTACAATCATCAGTACACTGTTATATTAATGTGATCAATTCTCAGATTGACAATGAGAATATTTCAAATTATATTTACTTCACATATTCTTTTTTTGATGATCTTCCTTTCCTCATTAACCTTGGTTGGTGGCTCAGAAGGTAAAGAGTCTGCCTGCAATAGAGGAGATCTGGGTTCAATCCCTGACTTGGGAAGATCTCTTAAAGGAAATGGCAACCCACTCCAGTATTATTGCCTGGAAAATCTCATGGTCAGAGGAGCCTGGTGGGAGGACCCCTGTGAGCTACAGTCTACGGGGTTGCACAGAGTCAGACCAGACTGAGTAATACTTTCCTCATGTAGATATGAGTTATTGACCCAGATCATTTTCCACTAGCTGTCTTAACATATTAATATTAACTGCTTACAATTCCCTGTTGGAATTCCAACATCTATATCATATTTGGATCTTGTTGCGATGAATACTTTGTCTCTTAAAAATGTGTTTTCCTTGTCTTTTGGCATGCCTGATAACTTTCTGTTGATACCAAACATGATGTATCAGGTAACAGAAACTGCATTATACATGCCTTGAGTATGCACATTTTTGTTACTTTTCCTTGAAGTAGCACTGTGTTTAATATTTGTTATAGTTGTATATTGGAGAAGGAAATGGCAACCCACTGCAGTAAGTGTTCTTGCCTGGGAAATCCCATGGATGGAGAAGGAGCCTGACAGGCTACAGTCCATGGGGTTGCAAAAAGTCAGGCATGACTAGGTGAGAGAGTTTTTTTTTTTAATAGTGGTATATATGCCAATGAATAAAAATTCCTCTACTGTTCTTGTTTTATCTCCAACATTGTCTTGGGCTTCTCTAGTAATTCCTTCTCAGTGTGAGTCTGTATCTAGCAGCTTTTTTACTTAAAATTCACTGCTAGTACACTGGAATCCTATTGATGTGGTGATTAAACAAAGAGGGAATAAATTGTTGCATAATGTTACAATTAAATCTGAGCCTTTTAGTGGGCTAATGTCCTTGGGCATGACGTTCACATATACATTAACTTTTTATTCCCAGTTATCTGAGACAGGAAGGCTAGGGAGATGGAGTTGAGAAATGATTTCTCCCAAATGGGCTAGCACTATTATGTCTCTGCTTCCTACAGACTAGACCTTTGTTTTGAGCAAAACTTAAATATATTTTATCAATGTTACTTTTCCCTTCCCACTACTAGAGCCATTAGAATATCTTTCTTGGTTCCTCACAGTGAGAAACTAGTAGGATTTCTGCAGATAAAGCCCAGAGAAATGAGGGAGGGGGGTCCTGTCAGTCAACCACAAAGAAATGGTAGGCCCCACTTACACTACACTTTACAGGAGTTTATCACTTTCTGACTGGGTCTAATTTACACTAAGTCTTTGGCACTCAAAGTTACCTACTCCTATCTGTTTATGTCCCCAGCCACTTCTGCTCCAGATAAATAGATCTTGTCAGTGAATTTTAGAATCAATTGTCTTTCCATATTTCAGGCTGTCAAACTGCTATCACCTTAGTTCCCTAATGAGTCTAAGAAAGGTTATCAATGTTTAGTTTAATGGCTTGTAAGATTAAAAAAAATAAAACTAGAAAAAACTGGAATGATGGTTTCTGAGCTTTTTATCTGTTGGAACTAAAACCACAAAAATTAATACTTTTTACTTTTTCACATTTATTTACTTATTTGGCTGTGCCATGTCTTAGTTTTTGGCATATGGGATCGTTAGTTGCAGGCTGCATACTCTTAGTTGCTGCAGGTGGGATCTAGTTCCCTGACCATAGATCAAACCCAGGCCTTATCCTCTGCATTGGGAACCTGGAATCTTAGCCACTAGACCACAGGGGAAATCCCCCAAAAGGATATTTCTTAAATGAAAAAAGAGCAGATTAAAATCGAGTACATCACATTTAGTAAAAGAAAGAAATATTTCAATTTTATACATATGCAAGTAATGGACCAAAACTAATCAAACTTTAAAAAATCTGACAAATATTGATCTAGAGTACTGGTCTAGTTTTGCTTTTCTGTGACAGTGAGCATTTATATGTTTGATGCACCCATTTTTTAAAATTAAATTAGCATTAGACCATAGGATAAAATATATTTTGGGTTCCATATAATCACAGTATACTGGCTGTAATGCCACAGCTTTTCTCAGAACCAGAATTTTCCATCATTCCCTAGAAAAATGCTCCTGTAGAAATTAATTCACTTTTGACAACATTGACCAGTAAAATTACATTAATTTTAAAGAACTTCAGAGAAAAAATTGGGCAAGGTAAAGAAGAAAACACTACAGGAAAAAAACCCCAGTACCTCCACTCATACCGAAGTTTTTAAACTTCTCAAATTAGTTTCCTATTATTTAATTATTCTGTTCTCACTGGGGAATAATAACCTTATTCACACTAGTTAATTTCCACATACTTGAAGGTTAACATTTTCTAGTTAAAACAAAATTGACGTGTCATTTTAAAATGTGTCTGATTTAAACATGAGGTGTTAGATTGGAAGACTTTGTATAGATCACTTCTCAGCATCAGTCACCTTATCTTGAGCTATCCATCACTGGGGCTCTATCTTGTTTGGGGTATTAGTCTCTCTTAAAAGCCCTTGTTTCAAAATTCTTCCTGGAGTGGGCCCCAAGGCTCTTATTCCCAGAAAAAGGCACTTTCTCTCTGATATCCAGACTAAGATCAACCACAACTGCTGACAAATCCAAGGGGAATAAGTCCTACGATTCTCACCTTTGCCCTTCACCTACTCTTGATGCTTTTGCTACTGTTCCTACTACTCTTGCTATTCAGCCACTTAGTCATGTCCACGTCTTTGTGACCACATGGACTGCATCATTTCTGTCCTTCACTATCTCCTGGAGTTTGTTCAAACTCATACCCATTGAGTGGGTGATGCAATCCAACTATCTCATCATCTGTCCCCCCACTCCTTCTTTTCCTGCCCTCAACCATTCCCATCATCAGGGTCTTTTCCAAGGAATCAACTCTTCACATCAGATGATCAAAGTATTGGAGTTTCAGCTTCAGTATTAGCCCTTCCAATGAATATTCAGAGTTGATTTCCTTTATTATTGACTGGTTTGACCTCCTTGCTGTCCAGGGAACTCTCGAGAACCTTCTTCAGCATCATAATTGAAAGCATCAATTCTTGGGCACTCAGTCTTCTTTATGAATTATTCCAAATATTCACAGAATGAGTACCAATCTTTCTCAAACTCTTCCAAAAAGAGAGAGTAGGGAACATATTCAGACTCATTTCACAAGGCCAGTATCACCCTGATATCAAAACCTGACAAAAACACTAAAATAAAATGAAAATTGCAGGTCAATATCCCTGATGAACACAGATGCAAAAATTTAGCAAAGTATTAGCAAATATTACAATTGAGAGTTATAATTTCTTTTCTTTTTTTTTGAAAGCTTACTTTTCCATTTATTTTTATTAGTTGGGGGCTAATTACTTTACAATATTGTAGTGGTTTTTGCCATACATTGACATGAATCAGTCATGGGTTTAATTGAGTACTTTTAATATTTGAATTAACCAAATTCAATAGTTCATCAATCATACACATGACCAATCTGTTTTCTTCCAGGGATGCAAGTATATATATATATATATATATATATATATATATATGCAACATCAATGTGATACAATGCATTAAAAATGAAATAAAAAATTACAATAAAAATGAAGGATAAAAATGAGGAATGCAATTCTCAACAAACTGAGTATAAAGAAAACAAACTTCATTAAAATAAAGGTCTTACATGACAGGTGAAAAAGTGGAAGTGACTCAGTCATGACCAACTCTTTGCAACCTCATGGACTTGGGGCTGCCAGGCTCCTCTGTCCATGGAATTCTCCAGTCAAGAATATTGAAGTGGGTTGCCTTTCCCTTCTCCAGGTGATCTTCCCTACTCAGGGTCAGACCTGGGTCTTCTGCATTGCAGGAAGATTCTTTACCAACTAAGCCAGTAGGGAAACCCACAGCCCACTCCTAAATCATAATCAACAGTAAAAGATTGAAAAATCAGGAACAAGACAAGGATGCCCAATCTCACCACTTTTATTCACCATAGTAATTAAAATTCTCACCAGAGAAATTAGGCAAGAAAAAGAAATAAAAGTCATCAAAATATGAAAAAGAAGAAAAGAAATTGTTCCTATTTGCAGATAATATTGTGTTATATGTAGAAAACACTTAAAAACTCCACCCCAAAACTGTTAGAAGTAATAGATGAACTCAATAAGGTTGCAAAATATAAGGCAAAAATAAATCAGTCCCATTTCTTGTGTGTGTGTGTGTTTTCAGTTGCATTTCTATACACTGTAATCAAGCTGTAAGAAGGATATTAATGAAATATCCCATATACAATTTCATCAAGAAAGAATACCTTGGAATAAATTTAGCTGAGGAATTAAAATATCTGTACACTGGAAACTAAGATACTGATGAAAGAAATTTAAGTGTCTACAAATAAGTTGAAAGATATCCCATGTTAAAGGAATATTGGATTAAAAGAATATTGTTGAAATGGTCATATCACCCAAAGCAATCTATAGATTCCATACAATCTCTATCAAAATTTCAATAGTATATTTTTTT